CCTCCTGCTCCGAAGCCATGTCGCCAGCGCCGCGCCGCCAGGCTGAGTGGGCCCCCGTGACCCGCACTCAGACCAGCATCACGCGACCGGGCGGGCGGTGCCGACACCCGCGGGGCGGGCCCTGGGCGCCCCGCCCCGGCTCCTGCAGCACTCGGGCTTCGGCCCTTCCCCGCTTCGACTCTGGCCCGGCCCGTCCCGGACTCGCTCTACAGCAGGCCACCCTAGCCGCGTCCCCCAGCTGCCGGGCTGGCTCCCACCCGGTTTCTGGCGAAAGGCAGAGGTGGCTTGGGAGTACTCTGGGACCCCAGGAGGAAGCCGGAGGTGCCTGGGCAGATCGCAGGCTTGGGTCTGTCCCTGAACCAGCTCCCCCTACTGGGTTAGGACCTGAGGAGGTGTGGCCATATTTGCATTTTGCCCGGACTCTGGCTGAGGCCGCCGCGGAGGACCGGCAGCGGTTCAGGGAAGACCCGGAAGAGGCCAGATTCGGGGCTGGGCTGTGAGTGTGGGCCGATTGGCCAGGTCAGCAGCAGGGCTGGGTGTCCGGACCTCACCAAAGCCTCTCTTGACCGCCACCCCTCCTAGTTCCCATTGCTGGGGGACCTCACAGCCCCCCTGCCCTGCTTACTTTGTTGTTTTAAACTACCAGGGTGTAAAACTCTGCATTTAAGAAACACTCGTGTGAAAAATACGGAAGAGCGGCTTAGGCCATCATGGGACCAAACTTTCTTTATGATCTAGGTTGATGTCAGTTCCCACCCCTGGCAACCCGTGTGTGCGGAGCACCCCTGAGGGTTTTCCTTTCTGAAACAGACTGCAAGCCTGTCTCCGACCTTGTCTCCGGCTCGCTTCTTGGTCGGTTCCAACTGCCGGCGCTTCAGCTAGCAAAGTGCTCAACCCTTGTGTCGCCCAAAACGGTTCCCACCAAACTCACTGACATCGAGTCTGTTCTGACTCCGAATCACCCCCATTGGTTTCAGAGGCTGGAAATCTTCACGGAAGTAGATTGCCCCATCTTCCTTCCATGGAGCAGCTGGTGGGGTGTGAACCGTTGACCTTCTGGTTAGCAGCCAGATGCCTTGCACACTATGCTGTGAGAGCTGAGAGTCACTGGCATTGGCTTGTTTTCCCAGATCTGCCAGGTTTTCCGCCCTCAGCAGCTGCAATCTTGCCGCTTCTGTCGCTCCTTTTAGTGAAAATACTTGCGTTCTTCTTGGACAGATTGCAGCTTTCGCAGATTTCACCCTCAGGACAGCTTTAAAAAAAATTCAAATGGAACTTCAGGACAGGAAGTGCTAAGTAAGATCTTCCTCCAGGCCTCCTCCTCTGTACCCCCTGGTAACACAGCTGTTAGGCTCCTGTGGGTGGGTTCTGGCCCACATGGCAGCCCCCACCCCAGCTCCCCCTACTGGGTTAGGCCGCTGAGCATCACAGCCGGTCCTGGCCCAAGATGTGTTCATGGCCCTGAAAGGAGTTCCTTTCTGAGGACTCTTGGGCTTGCCTCAGGGCCTCTGCACTTGCTGTCTCCCTGCCCCCATGTGTCAGGGCCCCATTCACACAGGTCTCTGCGCCTGTGCCCCCTCCTGGGGGAGAGTCTCCCAGGTCACATTATTGCAGACACTGTCCAGTCCTCACTATTCTGCCCCACCAGCTTAGACATGGCCAGTGCCCAGCCACTCAGTAAGTGTGGATAGGAGGCATGAGGGCTGGCTTCCGAGCCCGGCGAGTGTTCAGTGTGTGCTTGCTGAATGAGTGAGCGCCAACAGCTTGTTGGGCTGCAGGTGGAGGAGAGGAAAGCTGGTGGAAGACGGTTTCCAGAGCAGAGTCCATGGGAACCCTTATCGCCCTGCAGGGCTGAGCAGCAGAGACAGGCATCTGTGCCCTTGAAGGCTGGGTAGTAAGGCAGTGACACCTATCTGCAAGAGAAGCTTACCTGAGCCACGTGGCCCAGCAGGTAGCAGTGCAGTGAGGGGAAAGTGGGCATGAGCTCCTATACTGCCTGCCCAGGGCAGGTCTGTGGCCAAAGAGCCACCTTTGTCTGCAGGCCTCCTCCAAGGGGCTCAGGGGAGGCCACAACAGGCTCCCTGGCTGTCCTCAGGGAGTGGATAGCAGAGAACCCTGGGAAACGTGGCAGCCACTTGCTTGCCCCTTCACCCTGTGTCTGGCACTGGGGGTACAGCAGGGGTTGACTGGCCCTTACCCCTTCCCAAGTTGCTTCTGCCTCAGCACAATGACCGGGGTGGGACACCCACTGGTCTGGGACTCCTGGACACACCAGGGTGTGAAAGCAAAGGGGTTGGGCAAGTGCCAGGCTGCTGGAAAGTGAGGAGTGGGGGAGGAGGAAGTGCTCAGAACAAGAAGGAGGCGAGGCCATGCCTCGGTCCAGTCCAGCCTTTCTGCACCCTTCTGGGACCTGGCCATGGCCAGCCCAAGGGCCTCCTTGAGCCTCTCCACAACCCGCAGGGCTAGCCTCCCTCCTTCCCTGTGGGGCTGCCCTGCAGGGGCTCTGAATGCTTCGGAAGTTGTGCCGCCTGTGTGCGGTAGGCTCAGGCCTGGACACTGCTGGCCTGAGGTCCCGAGCAACCACAGTGTCACTTGCTAGTGGCTGCTGACCTCAGCATCCACAGAGGTGTCCCTTCCAGTTCCCTCCGCAGGCCTCCCCCAGCATGGTTTCCCACCCATGGGAGGCAACAACACTGTGCCACCCAGGATGAGGGTGTCCAAGGAGCAGCCACTGTAGGCCAGGCTGACGCCTCCTAAGAGCAGAGGACTCAGGTGACTGCCACATCAGCCACGAGGAAGCGAGCAGATGCTCTGTAGCTTGGGGTCTAACCGGGCTTCCCGGGGGTGGGGCGGGTACAGGAGTGGCCCTTCAGGGGCTATCAGGCCTGGGCAGAGGGGAAGGGCTGCAGAGGGGCTATCATCCCTAGATCCCAGAGGGAAGGGCACCTGGGACCCCCTGAGAACTGGGGCCTCGTGCTGAAGCAGGACAGGTAGGGGGATGAGGCTGCAGAACAAACGGCTTGGAGGCTGGGACTCTGGCAGGGCCCCTACTAAAGGGGAGGCCAGGAATGGATAGGCTCAATTTGGGGGTTCCACTTCTGGGAAGCACCCCCATTTTTTTACATGTGGGAGCCTCACTTCAAAGGAGGAAGTCCAGATGAGAAGCAGACCCAGGCCACGTGGGGCCACCCTGAGCACAGCAGCTGCCCCACAGCCTGGGACCCAGGCACAAGGGGCCATGGGGCCCAAGGACACAGTGGCCCAGGTAGGCAGGCTGGCAGAGGACTGCCGAGGGGGCTGGAGGGAGGCCAGCCGAAGGGGTGCAGTGGACTCTCGTGCTGGCGACTGTCCAGAGGGGGACTGGCAGCCATTCGCTGATCTAGCCCTGAAGGCAGACGGTCTACTTAGAGAGCAAAGGCTGCAGATGACTGGTGGTCCATGCTCGGGCCAGGGGGCGGTCTGGGAAGACTGTCAGGGGAGGGATGTGGACAGGCAGGTTCTGGAGCATGGGCAAGGGCTGGGTGGGGTGTCCCTGTCAGACAGCATCCTGGGCAGCTCCTTGACTTTGAGAGGGTCCCACTGGGGCCGGCTGCTGGCCCAGAGATGGCCTCTAGAGCCCGACTGCAGAAGGCAAGTCCTCCCTCCCACACTGGCCAGCCAGGGTGACCAGATGTGGCTGGAAGCTCCCAGGCTGACCTGTGAGGAGGCTGTGGGAGCCAGCAGGGCAGCTGTGGAGGTTGTCAGCTAGAGGAAAGAGCTGGAGCAGTGGCCCTGAGCCTGGGGGCCGGGGCAGGGCTGTCACCAGATGGGGATCTGAGGACAGAGGAGAAAGTGGCTTTGTCCTGAAGCCGGCAGGAAAGGCCAGGCTGTCCCAAGGGACCAAGGGAGGAGCTGGCAGCGGTGGGGACAGAAAGGCTTCTGTGTGAGGGGATGCGCCCAGCTGGCTGGAGCCCGAGGTCCCCTCGGGGCCTTCCTGGCATAAAAGAAGGGGCCCCAGGGGCTGCTGGTTGGTGCCTGTGGCCCAGGGACCTTCAGGGAAGAAGATCCGTGGCAGCTGCAGAGGAAAGGTGGGGTCCCTGGAGGGGTGCGCCCTTATCATTTTCCCACGAGGCCACCCGGGGACAGGTTTTCTTCAAGGCGCCAGGCCCGGCCCCTCTGAGGGTGGCCCGGCGGCCAATCGCGGCTGGGGCGGGAGAAACGACTGCAAACACTGCAGGGAAGCCGGTGGCAGGTGGGCGAGAGACGAGTGGGGAGGTCCACTCTAGGCTCCCTCCCTCTCCTCCGCCGGATGGGATGGGGCCAGAGGAAGGGGATCCCGGCCCTGCACCCCGCGGGCGGCAACTCCAGGCGAGCGGGCCTGGCAGCAGAGGGAGCGCGCTGGGCGCGGGCCCCTGGGCAGGAGAAATCAAACCAGGGCTGGCTGCCTCTGAGCCAATCCGGGAGGCGATGGGCCGGCGTTGGCCAATGGCTGCTGCGAATGCTAATGAGGGGTGACGCGGCGAGGTGGGCCCCATTCAAAAAGTAGCAGCTATTGTCGGGAGGGCTGCGCACGCCGGGCGCGACCCGCCGCCTCCCGGTCTCTCGGACGCGCGCCGGGCAGACGCGCGGACCGACCAGGAGGCAGGCCCCCGGCGGATCCCGGCTCAGACGTGGGAGCAGGCTCCGGGCCAGTCCCCCGGGCTGGACCCGAGAACAGACTAGCCGGCAGGCGCCCATGGCCGCGGCTGCGATGGCCGAGCGGGGCCGCGTGCTGCCCGCCGCCGCGCCCGCGCCGGGCCTGGGCACCGAGGGGCTGCCGCGCGCCTTCCTGCAGAGCCTGCGCACGCTCTTCGACATCCTGGACGACCGGCGGCGGGGCTACGTGCACCTGCGTGAGATCGAGTCTCGGTGGCAGGGAGCCGACGCGCGCGCGCTGCCCGGCGGCGTGCTCGAGGGCCTGCGCCAGGCGGCCCCGGCCAGCGGCTACCTGACCTTCGAGCGCTTCGTGGCCGGCCTGCGCTCCTCTCTGCTGAGCGCCGAG